CTTTAGATTGTCTAATTTAAGTAGTCTGCCTGAAGGTTCTACACTAGCTACTATATCTGAAATTTATTTAAAAATTCTTTATTTAAACTCTCTGGCTATATACTATTCCTATCCTACTATTATTTATTATCTAAATTTGCCTAACTTCATACTAATTCTTTTTATGAAGATATCAACAAAGCTAACATATGTTCACAAACTTTAAGATTCAAAGTCTAGACCCATCTAGCATAGTGAATATTTGATTTAATTAGTTAATAAATATAAACAATATATATATTGTTACATGATTATTGGTCAACCAATTCATGAATTTTAAAAGAAAAAATAAAATCAAGACTTTAACTAATCTGAAAATTAATATTGTATAAAATAAATTAGATTTGTTCAAGTAAAATGACTATATTTATTTTATTTATTAATTTATAAAGAAAGCCTTATAGTTTAAATTGCAACAAAATAGCATATAGTTATATATATATATAAATCTCTAAATTTTTAATCGTATTTTAAAAAAAATAAAATAAATATAATTAGCTGATTGTTTTAGAATTTTTACAACATATAATAAATATTATTTTAATAAACTAAGATCTTAAGTTACATATTACACTCATATTACAGTACTAAGCCTTTCTAAATTATTACTTTCAACTTTATTCTATTTTTATTTTTACTCAACAAGCTGAATATTAACTTGTATATACTTACTACTATATTTGCCTTATTAAAAGTTTTCCTTTAAGCAAAGTTTTTAATAATAAAGATCAATAGAGATCACTTTCACTCAATAGATATCTTGAGAGTAAAAGAAATCTATAAAATGTTTTGGTTAAACTTTACTTTGTAAAACCAAAAGTTGCTAATGAATGAAGTGGCTTTTTATAGTAAAGTTTACTTGAAAAAATTTTTTTTATATTGTATAACTCAGAGTTTTATGAGCTAATAAAATTGAATGTCTGCTATACTAACTCATCTCAGGTATTTTTTATTAACTTTTTAATCTATAGACACTGTAATACCTAACTATATTATGCTATATTCTAATTTAGCTTGCATATTTCTTTGTTTGATGTTTATACAAACCTAGTTCCTACTATAGCTTTTCACTAAGTTAGTTATCTGTACCTCCAGATATTACATAAGATAGGCTCTTTCAAATCTGGTTACTACTCAGGTTAGTATTACTAAAAGTTGTCTATACCTTCAGATATCATATGGAACAGATCCTCCTAAATCTAGTTAGCTGCCAAGCCAAGTTGGTATTACTATATATTCTTATATAATAGACTTATGCATATTCATTCTGCTAATTTTTTCATATACAAATTTTCTAACAGACTTATTTGTATTCTAGTTGCTGATCTTTTCATATGCAGATTTTTTTTCTCAAATTAAACGTTAATTAGTATAACTATTAAAATCTGTACTATTTCATCTAACTTTAGATTTTTACTATACAGGTCTACTGCTTATAGATCCTATTAAGATTTATTTGTATAATATTATACTCTTCCAAATATTCTATCACACTTCTAAACTATAATTAGCATTAGTACAATATAATTTATAAGGTTACAACTTCAGAAACAAGCAAAGTTTACTATAAGTTAAATACAGATATTTAGATAATTATTTAATTCTGTTAATAGTGGAATTTGAACTCTAAACCACTGATATGAGTATAGCAGACATTTAATTTAATTGGTTAAAAAAAGTAAACAATATACATAATGCAGATCTTATAAGTATAACAAATATTTAATTTAATTAGTTAAAAAAATAAATAAAATAAATAATATAGATTTTAAATATAATATTTAAATTTATTATTTTTTTATTTTTTAATAAAAATTTTATATTATTTATACTATATAATAAATTAATTAAATATAAAAATTATATGATAAATAAAATTTAAAAATTATAATTTTTATTTTAAAAAAAAAGTTTAAAAAATTATAATATTTTAATATTTAAAATATTTATTTATATACTACTAATTTAAAACATCAACTAATTTATTAATAAATTCATTTTCTACTTTATCTTTATCACTTAATACTAAATTTAAATTTTCAATTTCATTATTATTATTATTATTATTATTATTTTCTATATCAATATCTTCATTAGTTAATATATTAGCTCTTTTTTCTAATCTAGTTATAAAAGATTTTACATTTCTTTTAATTTTATCTTAATAATATTCATAACAATATTTACATCTTCTTTCCATAATATTATAACATATTAAATAATATCTATAACCACAAATCAAAACTTCTAATTGATATTCATCTTTTAAATTAGAATCACATAAATCATAATTATTTAAAGGTAAAATTTTTTTAGTAAAATATCTATAAAGAAGTTGTTTTGTTGATACAGTAACTCTAAATACTAGAAGATAATAATGAAAAGATTTAAAACTATTATTTTGATATCCTAATTCTTTAGATAAATATACTTTTTTAAAATAATTTAATAAAAAATTAATGTTTTTTGAATTAAATATTCTAAACTTGATTGTGTATAAGAATTTTTTTTAGATTTTGAAATGTTTCTTTAAATTAATCATGACAATATGAATCTAATATTAAAAATTATTATTAATTAAAATATTTTTATTAAAAATTTAAATTATTTATTACTTACTAATAACAAATGCTTCTCTAATAATTTCATCAGAAGTAGAATATTTTGTTATATAAGCTCTAATTTTACTATATATATTTTCTATATAATAATCATTAAAATAAACTAAAAATTTTTTAATAGTTTCATTAAAAGGATGTTTTTTATCTGTCTAATAAAAAATATCTGAAAGAAAAGCTAAAGAAGCCTTATTATAATTTTTTCTAGACTATTTTAATGCAAATATTCAAATTCTAAAAATTGTTTCAATATATTCATCATATGAACTAGATTTAAATAAAATTGCATAAATATCTAAAGTAGCAGGAATAATATTATCTAATAAATCAATAAGCATTCTATATTCAACAACTTTATAATATTATTTAAATTTTTAGAAAATTATTTTTTTAACTTTTAGTCATACTTTATATGCTAATTTTAATAAAAGATTAATTCTCTGAGATTTAGATTTTTTAGCTAATTTTTTTTTATTACTAAATGCAAAATAAAATAATTGTTGAAAAAATTTATAATTAATTATTAAAATGTTTCTTTGCTATTTAATGCAATATGAAGATGACCAATAATTGAATGAAAATTTTTATAAATTAATAGAATATTTGATATTAATTACTGAATTTTTAGATAAGTAATAATTTTTCTAATAAATAATTGTCTTGGCCAATTTGTAATTATAGAAATTATATTTTGATTTAAATAATTATTAAGTAAAGGAATATTAATAATTATTTTAAGTACTTTAGCATAATTATCAAATGAATATAACTCTAATTCTTTAAAATCTACAAGTTTTAAATTTTGCATAGATCTTTCATCTTTATGCTCTAAAATAGTATCATTATATAAATGAATTGTTAAATTATCTATATTATCAAATTTACTTAATTCTAAAAATAAATAAAATATCTATTGAGATTTTGAATTATTATAACTAATATTAAATAATGAACTATATTTTCTTTTAAATATCTACAAAGATTTTGTACCTCAATATTAACTGAATTAAATAAAGAAATATTATTATAATTTGCTTAAAATAGGTGATAATAAATTAACTTTTTTAGCTATTCATATTGCAAAATGTTTAACTAAAGATAAAAAAGTTGTATCTGGTCTACGTATTTTATAAATTGAATGAAAATCATCAAGATTAAATATATATAAATAATTTAACTAAATTATATAAATAATAAATTAAAATTAATATATTTTTATTTTAAAAACAAATAAAAATATAATTTATCTCTTCATTAAAATATTTATTAATTTTTTCAAAATAATCTTTAGCTATTTGTTGTTTATATTATAATACAGTTTTAGATAAAACTATAAGTTCTGTATTTGCTAAAATATCTATATCTTTATATGAAGTTTCTGCTGAAGCTAAATGAAGTTCAATATCTAATTTATAACTATTTGCAAATTTATTTTTTAAGCAAGCAAAAAGATAACAAAATGAAACAATAGATTTTTTTGCTTCTTCTTGATTATAAAAACTTCTTGTTATTAGAATAAGAGCTTCAACTAATTTATCAAAAAATCCAATTAATTCAGGTTCATTTTCTTCTAACATTTGTTTAAATTTAATAGAATCATATTCTAAAGTATTTTTAAATTTTCATTGCTAATTATAAATAACTAATATAAGAAAGTATATTTTAGTTACAAAACTTATTTCTAAAAATAAAAATATAAAATTTTTTAGTTATATATATATTATTTAATTATTATAAAAATTTATTAAATACTATTAGCTTTATTATTTTTATTAATATTTTCAAAAGTTTAAATATTTTCTGAACTTTCATTAATAGTTTCAATTATTTCATCTTTTTGATTTTTTTATAAATATTCAATATTTGAAACTAATTTTAAAAAATCTTATTTAGGAATACAAACTTTATCATTTAAAATTTCTAAATGAATATCATCCCATTTAAGTTTAGAAAACTTTTGTAAATTTTGAAAATTTTGTTTAATTGTAGAATTATTATAATTTTTTCTATTTGGTTCTATAATAATAAGATAATGATGATTATATAATTAATATTGATTTGGTATAAGATGAGAATATTCAGGTTTAATTAAAGTTTTACAATTTTGAGCTTTTTTTGTAGTAGGTTTAGTAAATGTACAAGATTTTAAAGTATCATTCTGACAATTTTTAATTGTATATAGTTCAAAATTTCTTTTTTTAGTAGCATTATATTTATATAAAAATTAAAACTAAATAAAAATTTAAAATTTAAAAAATTTAAATTTAAAAAAAAAATATAAATTAAAAGTTTTCAAATAAAATATAAAACATAGGTTATATTTATAATTTTTTTGTAACACAATATTCAAAAATTTATACATATTGTACAATTATTAATGTTTTATATATTTAATATTATATAATAAATCTATGTATTACATATAATATATTTAAGTTATTCATATGCATTAAATTTTAAAAAAGATTAATTACTAAATTTTTAAGTCTATTTTATTAATATAAGCATTCTGATGACCACATAGTTCTCCAAGAATTTTTATATAAATTATCATTTCAAATAAAAAAAATATATTAGTAAATCCAAAAAAACTAGTATTTATCATTATACCAGTTCAAGTTCCATCTAGTTTCAAATCTCTATTTTTGATGAAGTATGAATCTAAAAAGAAAAGAGAAAACAATAATATACTTAGCTAAAAAGAAAATAATAGAATAAAGACTAGTACTTACTATTATACCAGTTCAAGTTTTACTAGTTCTAAATTTCTATTCCTAGTGAAGAACAAATCTAGAAAGAGAAAAAAGAACAAGTTAATATACTAGAAAGAAGAAAATGAAAAAGCAAAAACTAGTACTTACCTTTATACTAGTTTAAGTTCTACTCAGTTTCAAAACTCTATTCCTAGTGAAGAATAAACCTAGATAGAAAAGAAAGAACAAGTTAATATACTAAAAAGAAGAAAACAAAAGAACAAAGACTAGTACTTACCTTTATACTAGTTCAAGTTCTACTCAGTTCTAAAGCTCTATTACTAGTAAAGAATAAATTTAGAAAGAGAAAAAAAAATAAATAGTGATAGAAATATAGAATCTGAAGATGAATTAGATTATGATATTAGTAATATTATTAATGTAGCTATTAATAGTGAAAAATAAGAATTTTTTTTTATTTAAAATTTTAAGTCACATTTTAAATTTTTAAAATTTATATTTAAAGGTCTGGCAATCTTAGTGTAGTGGTTAGGTTGCTGGACTGCCATACAAGAAGTCTAGGGTTCAAATCCTACTATATACAGAATTGAATAATTACCTAGACATCTGTATCTAACTTACAGTAAACTCTGCTCATTTCTGGAGTTGTAACTCTGTAAATCACGCTGTACTAATACTAATCAGAGCATTGGAAGTGTGACAGAGCGTTTAGTAAGGTGTAACATTACACAAATAAATCTTAATAAGAAAATATTAATATAGCAGTAGTTAATTACAGGATGATATACGCACACTGATCTACAGGCAGGGGACCTGCATGGTAGAAATTCCAAGTTAAGTGAAGTAGTACAGATTTTGATAGTCATACCAGTTTACACTTGATCTGGTGAAAGAAATTTGTAGCTGAAAGATGTGATCAAGCAGGTGTGAGTAAGTCCATTACACAAGGTCATACAGCAATACTAACCTGGCTTGGCAGCTAACTGGATTGGAAGGATCTGTTTTGTGAAATATCCGAAAACATAGAGAACTAATCTGATAGAAGGTCACAGTAGGAACCAGGTTTGTACGAACATCGAATAAGAGTATATGCAAGCTAGATTAGGATATAGCATAGCATAGTTGGGTACTACAGCACCCTATCAGTTAAGGAGTTAGTGAAGAGATACCTTGTGATAGAGTCTAGGCTCTGAACTATAAAGTTTGTGAACTAATGTTAGCTCAGATGTCTTCTAGGAGAAGTAGTACAGGGTTAGGTGAATTTGATAAAACAAGGATAGAATACGAGGAAGTGTCATAGGGCTAGAGAGTTTAAATAGGTAATCTTCAAATAGATTTCAGGTATAGCAGCTAGTGTAGAACTTTCGAGCAGATTATTTAAATTAAACAATCTAAAGTTGTACATATAGCTAGTTGTACTCTCACAATATGTATCATTTACTCACTATCAATACTAATAAAAATTTAGCTGATGGCATTTGTATAAAGTAAAAAAAAAAAAAAAAAAAAAAAAAAAAAATTTATATTTATATTATTTTATTTACAAAATTATTAAATATGTATTTATTTATAAGAGAATGAGCAGAAATTAAATAATTTCAATTTATTAGAGTGACTTATTTCCTCCTTTCTATTTAACTTATTATATAAGCTTATCAAATCAAATCAGTTTTATTAAGACTTGACTAAACTACTATACCTCTCCCCCTAAGAAATTAGCTGATTTCTGCTCATTTCCTAAATAAATAAAATTATATTTTTATATTTTAATAATTCTATTTTAAAAATATACTAAGAAAACTATTCTTTCTAGTTATGCTATAAAATTAAACTCAAGTATATTTAATATAATAACTTATTTAATATCTGTTTACCTTAGTAACTATCAATATATATATATAAGAGATAAGAAGCTAAACTGTATGTCAAATTATCATTACAAGGAGATCAATGTAAAACTATATAAAATACAGTAGAATACTAAAAGCACTTAGACAACTAATACAAGCTAAGAATTTAATTAATTTATTAAATATTTAGTGCAAGATGATTAGAACTAATTCTATAGATAATTTTTTTTTTTTTTTAACATTCAGCAGTCATGCCGTAACTTTATTTAGATTTGTTTTATATGAAAAACAACATTATATGG